GTACACGAAAATGTTTTATCATTATATTACCTTATAATAATTACATGATTGTATAACAATTGCACTAATCCTCGAAATTTTCCATCTCCATATCTTCGCTTCTTTTAGAATCTAAACATTTCGTAAAAATGCGGTTTACTTCTTTGCGAAAATTCTCTCCAGTTGCATAATACAGAACAAAGTTTATCCCGTGATATGTAAGATATAAATTATAGCTGATCCAATGATCCAAAATTATAGAAAAATGTTTATCTTCATTCAACTGCAAATATAATTATTATCATTATAAATTATTATTAAAGAATCATAAACAATAATACCGTTCTCATATCCATTGAATTAAACATTAGAAAATATGAAAAAAAATATTGATTGTTGGATAAAGTTAATTAATAGCATTAATATTACGTAAAATGTGTTTTTAAAGAAACTGTATCCGATAGTCGGTTATTCTTCAATAATATATGTTAATACGTACGTCATAGGGAAAAAGAAAGGACCTGACATGTATAGGTACACTTAAACATATGTATGTGCTTGAAATAATAACAAGCATTTTTGTGACCTTATTGTGTGACGTTTCAATGTTAGAACATCTAGTATTCTCACTGGAAGCAGCGGAACTTAAAATCAAGTTTCTTCGAGTACGATTCTGTTTGTGAATGGTATAAACTATCAGAGAATTGAACATCACTATCATTGTTACTGGTAAGATCAATAATATAATAGCATCAGCGATGTTTAAACTCTTCAACCAGTACTTTAAATTTGTAATATCTTCATTAGTATCAAATTCTTTGCCCACTTTACTTCTGAACATAAGCCATGGGATAGAGCATAAAATTGCTAATCCCATCAGTCCGATCACCACGGTTTTCGCTCGATTGACTGTGTCGAAGGAACGACGAACTAGCGGCCACTTGATCACTATATACCGCTGAACAGTAAAGGCCACTATAATCCATATACTCAGGAAACAAAATATCCATTGTAAACCAAACAAAAAAATGTGCATCCAATCTTCGTAATTTATAATATCCATCCATTCAAACCACATCATGAATATCATTATCAACGCAGCAATGTCGTTCATAGTAAGTGCACCCAAGTAGATGCTGGATGAATTGTAACGTAGCTTTGTGCAAAAGAACACAAACACGGATAGACTGCTGCTCAGTAGAAAAAAACACAAGAAACTCGGTATGTAGTACTGTTCAATGTGGTTAATCACATTTAATGTTAGATTAATTTCGTCAGTCATCCTTGCGTATTGATTTTTGTTGGAGCATTATGACTGGCGATTCACGAAGCTACGTGGCGCTGTGTGGCGCTGAACACCGAAAACATTCACATATACAGGGTGTCCGATAATTGCTGAATCACCTCTCGGGTGTAGATAAAGCGGTTTAAACCGAATAGAAAAGTCCTCTATCATTTTGCGATTTTCGCAATAATTAATGAGGAATTAATTAAAAAATATCGGCTAATTCGCGCGAGTTTAACCCTAATTAGTCACACGGGGTGGATTTCACCCCAGCCTTTTTTTGATCTGGAATACGGCCCATTAAATTCGAGAAAATGGGACTTGTTCCACCATATACCGGTAGTTTGAACCTTTAACTACAGATTCAGGTAGGTATTATTTGAGTTGGCTCTTTAGTGCTTTTCTGGCAGCTATCCGAAGCGGAGCGTCCAAAATTGTGCGGTGGATAACACCCAGTGTGACTATTACGTCAGAATTTTGATTTCTGCAGCAATTTTTTTTTCTCCTCTTTTTTTGGTGCAACATCAAATTGTAAATATATAATTGATTAATTGAACGAACTTACGTGAAGTTCGATTACAATTATGTTGTCTCGTCCGGATGGATAATCGTAGATGTTTAAAGCTCAGATTTGTAATGGAGTTAAAAGTAAATAAAGTACAACTTTATTTGCCTTTTAAACTTCTTGTCTATTTTATTATAAATGAACATATGTGTGTAAGTCCGAAACACAAACTATATTTTTTTTTTTTTACGAGAAATAGTATATAACCTTATGAAATATTCAGGATCTTAGCCTGAAAAGATGAGTCCGTAATTATTGGTCGATTATAAAATCGAGCAAAAACATCCGAGGACCTGCTCCAACCAGCCGTCCGTCTGATTTCATCTAAGCTAATGCCCCTACTTGCCGCGAGAGATGTTGAAGCATGGCGAGTAGAATGTGCTGAAAAAATACTTATGTCCACTCCCGCTGCGTCTAGTTCTGTCTTGACCCAACGACCTAGTGTCTGGGAAGAGACTGAATTGTGTGGCACACGAAAAGAGATAAAAAAAGAGTCGCAGCTCCTCTGACGGAGATCGCAAGTGACTTGAAGATAAAGTTTTATTAAGGAAACAATACAGAATTCTGGTTTGTCCAGGAAGGGTTTGAATGTGAGTAAAGGCTGAACTTTCCCAACGCCGGAAGTTTTAAGCTTAGCCGGGATTTTTATGATTATGGAATCCGATATGATAACGTTCGATAATTGAATAGCTGCAAGCGTTTGCATTTTTTGAGCCGTTGTGAGAGCAAGGAGTGTTACCAACTTCCTCGATATCTGTTCCAGCGAAAGATCTCCATGTGGATATAAAGTGGCCAAATGATCAATTACTGGAGATGGATCCCAGATGAAATCATAACGAGAACGTTGTGGTTTTAAAGTTGCGACACCCTTGAAAAATCTCTTTTTTAAAGGGTGAGACCCTATCTCTTCCGAAGAAATAAGAGATATGGCTGAACGATATTTTTTGCATATGTAAAATTAAATTTCTTATATATAATAGACATGCTCTTGTAAAAAAGGGTCAAAACTTATTTCAGTATTTTTTTTTTTGCTATTTTACAATAATTTATTGCAGTGCAAAGGTGCGGGGGTGGATTTCACCCAGAATGACTATTACGTCATTTTTCGAAAGTGTGACTGAAGAGGATTAAGAGCGCGGCGAGAAGAGACCCGTGGTGATACAGCCCACTGTTATTTGGTTACTAGGCGCGCGATAAATCATTGGGAGAAGCGCTCTATGAATGACAACGGCACATACGAGCGGTGTGTAACGCTAGATCCTTGCGTCCTAGCGACCACGTAACAACGGGCTGTCTCTTCTCGCCGCGCGCTTAGACTCGCGCAAATTGGCCGATCTTCTTTAATTAATTTCTCATTAATTATTGCGAAAATCGCAAAACAATAGAGGACTTTTCTACTCGGTTTAATCCGCTCTACCTGCATCCGAGAGGTGATTCAGTAATTATCGGACACCCTGTATACACTCACCCGAAAAAAAAGCGGTACACTGAAAATGTGGGAAAAATTCATCAAATTTCAACTGACGATAACTTCGTAAATAATAAAGATAGAAAGTTCTATAAAATATAAAAATAAAGCTTAAAATCTCTACTTTAAGAATCGATTAATTTCAATGTTGCAAGATAAATTTATTGAAAATGGCGGATAACAAAGCGAGAGCATGCAAAATTGAAAAATAATGGTTTGAGTTTGCGACTGTGCACGGTATAAACAAAAAATTGTAGCTTATTGGGATCAAAAGCGTATGAAAGTACAGAATCTCATCTTTAAAATGCTTTTTTATGCATCTCGATACGATGATTTTTCGCCGAGAGATTCGCATTTGAAGAAAAAGGCAGGTTCTTACTTCAAATGCGAATCTCTCAGCGAAAAATCATCGTATCGAGATGCATAAAAAAGCATTTTAAAGAGGAGACTCTGTACTTTCACACGCTTTTGATCCCAATAAGCTACAATTTTTTGTTTATACCGTGCACCGTCGCAAACTCAAACCATTATTTTTTAATTTTGCATGCTCTCGCTTTGTCATCCGCCATTTTCAATAAATTTCTTGCAATATTGAAATAAATCGATTCTTAGAGTAGAGATTCTAAGCTTTATTTTTATATTTTATAGAACTTTCTATTTTTATTATTTACGAAGTTATCGTCAGTTGAAATTTGATGAATTTTTCCCACATTTTCAGTGTACCGCTATTTTTTCGGGTGAGTGTATAAAAGAAAGAGGAAACGAACGCTATATCCACGTTATCTTTTCGCTTCATATTAAATAATTATAATTGTATTTCTGTTCTCATCATTTGTGTTCTCCAGTTCCCTGCCTGCGTTTAATCTATATAAAGAAGGCACACTGCTCAACGTTATTATACAACAATTTTGAATTTGTAGCTTATTAACGAGATAAAAAACGGAAAGTGTCTGAACGTAGAGTGGATAAAACCTTGTGTCATACACAATGTCAAACAACTCCGTGTTAATAAAAATAAACTGCAGTTCGATTACACACCAGTTGATATAAACTGGTTTGATTGAAAAATTGTTAGCGTGTTTTACCGTAGTAATATAAAGTCGATACCGCCGTACGATTGGAAAATTGGCTACAGCTCCGTGTTTTTTTCTTTTTTTTTAATTTTACATAATATAAGTGCAATGTAGTAAAATAAATGTGCTGCTGTATTATACACTATAACTACGGACCAGTTCAGCTGTCTTAGGTCTATTCTAAGAAGTCATATGTGGCTATCGGGCGCAAACATACTGAGCTGGCTGTCGCAACCAATTATCTAAAGTCGTGCGTCAGAGTCGGAAAAAACTTTTATCTCGGTTTTATTTTTATCTTCTTTCCGGT